ATACTTTATACTCTAAGCAGGTAAGATTCACCCCTTCTGCACCACAATTTACTGACCAGAGGCAAATACTTTCTGAAGACAAAAATATTGGTATTTTTCTTGATGGACAGCAAACCTGTTGTTTGCTGATGCACGTTATTTTAAAAACAAAACCTGAGAGAGAAATTGCCCTCAAGATACAAATATATATATGTACACACTCAAAGTTAACTGTAAGCTTTCTGTGAGTAGAATATTACACTAAATACTATAAAATCTTCAGTTTGTCTCATGTGTCATACTATTAAAAATATTTCCCCAACATGCTCTGAACAGCAATAGGGTTACTTGTCAGACATGAGAGGGGGGAAAAAAGGGTGTAACTTTATGTTTTCATTTTAGAGATGTTGTGCAAGGAACTGAAGCTACGATTACTTAGTTAAGAAGAAATAAAGCGCAATTACTTCCTGGAAGACACAAAATAATATTAAGAGGATTCTCAAATGCCCATCAGGACCAAACTTTTTTTTTGTCTGAGGGCAATAATTATTTCAGACTGCATTACAGCACTATTAATTTCAAAACTACCAATCATTACTTATAAAACATGCTTAAGGAACTGGAAAAAATAAATAAAAATGTATTTGCCCCCCACTGCACTTATCTGAAGAGTTGACAGTGGTGTAGCAGTTAGTTTTCTTTAGTGATGCTGGTGGTGGTGGGGAGACTCAAGCAGCTTGGGACTGAAAAGCATTCATTTTAAATTAGGAAAATGTGATTTTATAGCCGTACTGACTGGCAAGGGGACTTTGCAGGTGTAGAGCTGAAAACAGACATTGATGTATTCTCTAAAATTAACTAGATTTCAAATTGAGGGAATCCTATGAATATTAACTTCTGCGGTAATAAATAATAAAAACATACAAAAAACTTGCAATATTTTCCTACCAGTCATGACTCAAGTCTGTCTCACTTGTGTTTCAGTTCACAATGAGATGTTCCCTTCCAGATCTAATTGGACTGGTTTAAAACGTTAGTGTCGCTACCTACTCTTTACTGTCCCTGCCAAAATTTACTACCCCTGCAGCTGAGCTGGGGTAGCAGATGGGCCCTCCTCCTCATCACCTTCAGCACAAATATAGCTGGATTAGGACAAAATCCCAAGAAAGGATGTGTAGGGCAAGCGAAGGTGACTGAAGCACATGGAGAAGGCTCAGATGATCCACTTTGCTTTTGGGGTAGTAAGTGTGAATGCCAGCAGAGATGCTGCAACATCCTCAACTGCTGCACCGGGGTTTGCAGCGGGCAACAGAAGCTGAGCAGTGCCTTGGTCAGCATTAAACCTCTCATCTGCTCCAAAAGCATTCAGTACCCTGCCAAGCCATATCCTAATACAGCTTCAGGCACCATGCCTGTACTTTAAACTAGCTTATAGTAAGCTTTCAAAACAAAAAACCCCCAAAACAAAACCACCCAAACATTAAAAACCACAAACAAACTTTAAAAAACCCACAAAAACAAACAAGCATAAAAAACCCAAACAAACACAGAAAGAAAATCCCATGGTATTTGCAGAATCAGAAATTACAGCCTTTACCTACAGGATTCAAATTGCACCAGAAACCTGGGGGAGACAGGTACTCGGATTTCGTTTCTTTTTAACATGAGCTGGACACCAAGCTTGCTTGTGCCTCTCTGAAAATCCTGCCCTACGCTTAGATCACAGGAATGCATAAACCTCTTCCTCGGGGATGGCAGCTCCTTCCCTGTGCTAATTCACCAGCAGGACAGACTGGATGCATACCCCTCCATCCTGAGAAGGGACAGAGAGCAACACTACCGATGGTGGGCAGGAGGCACTGTGGACACCGGCAGTCTGGCATAACTCTGTATCGGTCCCTGGCTTTGGTTCTGCCTGCACAGAAAAGCCAATTTTATGTGCGTTTCCAGAGCTCAGAGTACTCCTCTCCCTTCCCATTTCCCAATACCATGCTGGACCTCATCTCATTTATCTATGTTTTTTTAAGTCAGGCCAAGGAGCAAAATGGATATCAAGAAGCCCTGGTATCAAAGTTTTTCATGCTGTAACCCACCCTAGCTACCGTTCCAAAAGACACTGGCGTATCTACTTAATAAACTGAGAAGTGCTTGCGTGACTCACCCCCCAGACCACTTTGATCCTACAGCACCACCTACTGCCATGCTGCCTAGGGCTGTCTTTTCCTTCCCTGCAGCACACCTTCCGACAGCCACGTGCTTCATGCTCCTTTGGCTGGTGAAAAGCAAACGCAGAGTTCAAGGGCCCCAATTCTGCTCTGAGTGCCTGCTGCGGGCAAATAGAGACCTGCCAAGGGCAATTTCCTTTGCGAGAGCGTCTCTCCAACAGAAACAGACTTTGTCTTTCTCTTTTTGAAGTGCAAACTTGGGAAGCTAGGAAGGACATCTGTATTAACTGGGATGAAGGCACAAAAAGCCTGCATGATGCAAGGAAACAGTATGGAAGTCACCTCTGCACCATTGCGCAGTGGCTCTGAGCGTGCATGGACTCATAAACTTACTTTTTCCTCCATTGCTTAAGTTTCATGGAAGCTCTACCTGCTCCTGCCCCAGTAGTTCAGCTCCTCTTCAGTCCTTTTTAACCACTTTTGCACCACAAAAATCACATTCAGAGCTTGACAGACCCAGGCTCAGCAAAAACCTGTGGTCTGTGCTACACTCGGTGGGACTAGCTGGGGGAATGCAAATTGTGGCCCTAAGTATCTGAAACATAAACCGAACAAGAAATTTCCAAGGTACAGCTGACAGGATACCTCACAGATGGCAGGAAAAGGGAAAAATTAGTGATTCTGATTCCACTGATGCCACCCTGGACTCCAAATACCCCAGTTTGCTTGTTATGCCACCCTCCCCTTACACCAAGGGGATAAACTCTACGTTTTTGCTGCAGGTTTGGAGAAGCAGTTTCCATCGCGGAGTTTTGAGGCTACCCTGAAGAACGACCATCTCCAGGCGGCTTAGAAAGGTAGGGCTCTCTCCCTGCTTGTTTACTGAAAACGAGCTAAGAGATGATACTAAGCAGGACCATGTAGACTGTATCCATGCCTACTGCTGACAAGCGCTACCCATCGTTTCCTCCGCGTGCATGCCCCACACCGGTACCCATGCACGCACCGATGCGATGTCTGAACGCCATGCTGCTGGCTGAGTCCACCCACGAGCGGACAGCAAGAGATGAAGCATTTGTTCGTTGCAAAAATGTTTCCTGGGTTTAATGCCAGCTTTTGAAGTAAAAGGCTTTGAAAAGTCTGTTCTCGTGTAACTGAGGGTATGGTGGACAAAGCCAGGGACATTACAAGTGTGTCAAGACTAGTTCAGACTCCAGCCCAGAGCCTGTAAAAGCACATTAATTAGGATCATAATGTCTAGTCACAGTACAGGAACAGCTCAAAAGGATTAAAAACAACCCTATAAGCACATGCTTACTTGTACAGGCCATTGTAGGTGGGTCTGATTCCTTCCTAAAATAGTGTTCTTCACACAGGCAAGATGTGGATGCTTCATCAAGCGTGTAGCTGTGAGGGGGACATTTGCTGCAGGATGGACTGTGGGGTGAAGCTTTGAAGAACCCAGGTCTGCATACTGTGAAAAGAAGAACCACAGGCTAAGCTCTCCCATCATAAAATTAGTCTCTTCACATTTCCTTTTAAAAAAACCCATATCTTCAGCTAGAAAACAGACAAACACTCACGAGCTATTTGGTTTGCATATTTTAAAACAGTCTATGCCACTAACAGACAGTGTATACTTAAATATCTGCATGAAAAGAGACAGAGAAGCTGTTGATTTTTTTTCCCCCCTAGCATCTGCCTTTGCTTGGTATTTATTTTCCTTGTTGAATGCGTTAGAAGTAACATCTTTTGGGCTGTGCTTTAGAAAACATTATTGTGTTTGTTTTTTTTTTTTTCATTCAGTCTTAGAAAAAACAGGTAAAATACATCTCATGGTTTTCGTTTAACATGTTCTACACCCAGAAAACAATGTCTCGGCAAACAAATAGCAACACGGTGGTGGAGGGGATCTCAAGATCGACAGCTTTAAGACATTGTGATAAGGCTACTTCCCTAGGGTCTTTTCCCCTGCAAACCTGTGATGAATTTTAAAGCGTTCCATATAAGACAGACTGCTCTGGGTATAGCCTGAATGAGGCATGCTCGCCATACAACATATTTCTTCCAGCTCCAATATATATGCATGATGAGGCTCAAAGACTTGATACAAGAACTATTTCTGTTCTCACAAATATAATATATGGCTAAGGGCAGCTTGGGATTATTTTTTTTCTTTTTGTAAAATAATTTGAAGTGAATACAGTAATATCTTGTTTCCAGCCTCCTGAAAAAGTGCTTTTTCATGTAAGCAAAGCACTCTGTAATTCACCTCCATGCGCACACTCAGCCAGGAGCAGTGACAGCCACAGGTTTGCACATATCCACCCCGGCTTTAGGAAAAAACCATCTGGCCCTGTAATCGTACCGTTATATGTAGAATTACAAACCCACTGTTAGCAAAAGGAGGAAAACTATTTTGTGTTTGTCTCAAAAAGCAGAGACACGGAGACATGTTAAAGCAGCTCCAAAGTGCTGCTACTTTTTTTCCTTCAGAGATGCTCTAAAATAATTCTGCCCAGTATGATATCAACGATGCACAGGTCTGCTATCAGACTTACAGAAGTTACCTGGAAATCCCAGAGCCTTTCCATCTGCATTCAAACTTCCCCAGTTGTAATTAGCTTGCAAAGAAAATGAGCTCACAGCAAAAGCATTAATATTGTCCCACCAGGAATGTCCCAGACAATCACAGCACGAAGGTCACGTACTAAAATTCATCCAAGCATGACAGAATTCACCTTCACAGTAGATAAAGTATAGGTTTTTACTAGTGATCCGTTTTCCTCTGATGGACCAACTAGGACAACTGCCTCTAAAGTTGGCTCTGCTTCCTGCAGTACCAGAGAAACTCTCTCGACATCTTCCCTTTTATGTCACTAGCTTCTTCACCAAAGGTAAGACACTTGCACATCAACTCCGAACTCCTAGAGCCAGCCAGTAAGTCTTTGCCAATGAAGATCACTCATGCATCAAAAGGGGTGTGATCCAAGAGCATCCAGTAGACCTCCCCCAGGCCCCACCTCCAGTCTTGCCCAGACCATGAGGCTCTCACAGCAAGCGCCATGCAACCCTGAAGCAGTTCCCAAGCCCACCGCGGGCAGCCGGGTCTCCATCATGCATCTGCAGACTCTCCATCCTACTCTAGGGGATGCTCCTCTCCAGTATCCCTGCTGACGTCCCCAAACCAGGCACCCTCCCACACCTTCCCCCAGCTCCCTTTTCTTCCCACAAGACAGGCAGAGAACAACTAGTAGGACTGGAGGGGCTTACAGGTTTTAAAAACACAATTTCCAAAATTGCTCATCATCCAACTAGTGCTCCATACCTAGGCTGTGAGCTCTGCGGGACGCAGTTCATCTGCTTTGTGTCCATACACCAGGACTGGTGAAGAGACCTAGGGCTAAATTTATTCTTGATGGCTGTTAGCGGACTTGCCAAGCTGCCCTCGTGCTTTATGGCACATTCCTCAGTTTCTAGCAGAGAGTTAAGTTCTTTTATTTACTTCACAGCCACCTTCAAATGCTGCCCTACCTACAGCAAGGACTTGTTATACAATCTCTGCAGAGTCTTCTGGGAGAGGAGACCACCAAACAGCTCCTATCTAGCCTACAATTTGTATTTCAAAGCCAAATCAAACTCACTTGCACATGCAGACAATAGATATGGGGAAATGAAAGCACAAAAACGTGCAACATATAACGAGGGCAGCCCATGTCTAGTGTGTACTCGATGTAATTAGCCTTCAAAAAAGGACTTGAATTTATCTCATTATGTCCCATCAAGACAGACAGAAAATCATTACGGCACAAGAGTTTACCATGTTTCTATTTTGTGCAAAGCAGCAAATGCAAAATAAGTTCAGTTTTCCTTGACAGATTTTCAACAAGGTACAGCTTGTTAATGACGGTATGACACGTAGCTCAGCTCAAAGGGAATGTTTGGTTTTCATGAATAAGTATGGAGCCAACAGATGTACAATGCCAATAACCCATGTTTTAATGAGGGATGTGAAATGAAACTGAACTGGACCAATTTTTGTATAATCTGCAGGCCCCCATGTGTCAGGCAAGTCCCTTCTCTATGCAAAAGGTATAAGGAGGAACATTCAAGAGCATTAAATTACACCGAAGACTTCAACATGAGTCCTCATAACAAACAGCCAGCAGAGTAGTGTGCTGTCGTATCTAAGTGAAATACTCTTGTGTTGGTTAGAAAGGAAGAATTCAGGGACAGGAGACGGGATATGCAAAAAAGGAGGACAGAAAATAAAAATAAATGCAAGAATTACAACAGTCAGTGGTGGTGTGCCAAGCCCACACCCCTGTAGCAGATGCTCTGGGGAGGACAGAGGGAAATTTGCAGGGTTGCCCCAGCACAGCCTTCCAGCCTCTCGTGACCAGTGGCTTGAGGACCACTCCTGATGGAAACCACGCTTGCACTACCATGCTTGGGAGCAGAAGCAGCCATAGCTGCATGGGTGTTTCAGGCATAACTAGTATCTATTATAACGCTTTTGTCTGTATCCTTTCCTATGTTTGCTTTGTACACAACACAAAGAGGAGGACAGCTAGTGAGGTGGTTCAAGCAGCAATCCTCTAATAAACAGAGATGCTGTGATGAAACGGATGCTGTTAGGTGAAAGCTGACCCAGGAACATCTTATGCCTCTACACTGCAGAGCAGGTATCACGGTAGCCAGATGGGCACAGTGTTGGCTGAGCTCAACAGCCAAAAGCAGAGGCTGGTACCATGTCATTTTTCTGCCACTGGTGGCAACGTCTCAGATATTTCGGAAATTGGATTCAGGGCAGAATACCACAAACAGCCTACATCCTACCTTGCACGTACCTTGGGTTTTGGTCTTTATCTTACCATTTCTCTTCTGACAGTCAACCTTACAATCTCCTCATGAAGTATACATTACTTTATTTAAAATTACATGGGTGTCTGCGGTTTAATTTCTAATTAAATCTTATTTTAGACATCTTATATTTTTATCTCAGTATTTCTAACTCAACAGCTCTTGAAAGGATATGTAGAACTAGCACAGTACAGTCATGCACGTAATGGTACTATCTCTCTTTTCAAGCGGGTGGGAAAAGGAGGAGAAATAAGATGAGCCTAAGACTCCCCACAATCTGCTGCAAGCCAGCTGAAAAGAAATGAAATAAAGTTTTAAGATGTTGATGGGATCTGCTTCTTTCTTCCTAACATTAAAACTGATAACTCCTTAACTGATTAACAGCCACTGATGTGTGAAAATAGTCTTTAAATGAAATTGGTTGCTAGGAAAAAGAAAAAGAGAGTATTTTTAGACACAGCAAATATGCCATAAACAACCTGCTGGTGTTAGGTACAAGTGGGATGTGTTTCTGTTAGTAGCATATCCATTATTAGGAAATTAATTTCACTCTTTCTATTTTTAGTAGCAACCACAAAATGTTGCAGGCACAGAGCATTAACATCTGTGCAGCCTTTTGCTTGAGCCCTTCAGGATGGGCCAGAAAGAGATGGCTGCAATAAAGGACGGCAGCAAGAGCCTCTTGGGACAGCAATGGTGTGAGCTGATCCCTTAAATCGGCAGCAATCAGATTAGAAACCGGCTTCGTACCTTGCAGACGGGAGCCCACAAAAGCCATGCTGACAGAAACTGGCTCTTCGAACGTGGGTGGATGGAGGAGGAATCACTGGTCCTCTTACAACAGAAAACTGGCCTCTTCAAACAACGTGCTGAACTTTATGTGCTGTATCAGTACTAGAAACAGTGAGTACCAAGGGGGCGGGGAGGCAGGCAGAACAAACCAGTAACATCAAACAGCTGGGACTACTTGACAGATTATTATCTGCAAGCTTTAACATCAAACGATTTGCAGCTGCATCCCTGTAACCATCCCTGAGCTTCAGCTGAAGGCTGCATCCAACAGGTAGGGCTCCTCTCTCCAGCCACCCCATGCCTTCAATGCACACTGGCCCCAGGCAACAAGTGCTGGAAGCAATGACCACCTCCAAGGTTCTCCATATCCACAGGCACATACATGGCCATGTTGGTAAAACCACCCAATTAATATTAGTGGGAATTTCAGTTTTGTCCCTGGAGAGAGAAAAGCTAGGAAACATGACCCTATAAGCCCTGAAACCCCGGGAGATATGAAAAAGGTCCAATCTATTACTCCCTTCGCACTCTCGTGATGCTGGGAGGATAAGCTCACAGTACTTAAGTGCTTAGGATCAGCAAAGCGACCTTTCATATATCCCAGAAAATAAAGCTCAAACAGGAATTACAGTGTCTCCCTTGCAGAGCACCAAATTAGTCTCCACAGTAATCAGAAACCGCAAGTATAACTCATAAGGCAGTGCAGCTAATCCATAAATAAAGCTAACGGACAAAATCTAACAAAAATTAATGAGGATAAGGATGCCTAGTCTAGAGAGAGGACAGGTTTTCCGGCTGAAACTGAGGTTTCCTCCCCAA